GTCTCATCGTACCAAAAATAACAAAGAATTTACCATCGATCGAGATCTCGCGTGAGACACTTCAAGTTCCATCTAATCTAAAGCTTGCGGATTGCGAATTTGATAAATCTGGCCCCATAGACATATTAATAGGCGCAGAATATTTTTACGAAATACTAGAGGCAGGAAAAATAGAACTCGGCAGAAATCGTCCAATTTTACAGAACACTAAACTCGGTTGGGTCCTTGCCGGACCAATCATGTTAAAGACGAACTCCAAAACTTCTGACATGCTCGTAACAACCACATCGCTTCATTGTTCCACTCAACAGGGTGAGTCACTCAATCGAAATCTCGAACGATTTTGGGAAATCGAAAATTGTAATACCTATGTACGTCCGATTATGTCCAAAACGGAACAAAAATGTGAAGAAATTTTCGAGCTAACGACCGTGCGTGATAATAATGGTCGATTCGTCGTGCGTTTACCCATTCGTGAAGATGCTGAACCGTTGGGCGAATCTCGCGGAATCGCAGAAAATAGATTAAGGCAATTGGAACGTCGTTTTAAGAGTAACCCATCATTGCGAGAGGAATACAATAAGTTTATGCGCGAATATGAGACATTAGGTCACATGTCACAAGTAAGGGACGATGAAGATAGACCCAATTCACAGACTGTATATTTACCACACCATTGCGTTGTAAAGGAATCTAGTTCTACTACACAATATCGCGCTGTTTTTGACGCATCTAGTAAGACTACGTCAGGACGATCTCTTAACGACATATTGATGATCGATCCTACAATCCAAAATAGTTTAATAGAAATAATGATTCGGTTTCGTATGCACAAGATTGCGTTAACTGGAGATATAAAAAAGATGTATCGTCAAGTAATTATTGATCCGCAAGATCGCGACTATCAACGAATTTTATGGCGATATTCATTAGATGAACCGATTCGTGAATATCGTTTGAACACAGTCACTTACGGAGAAGCTAGTTCATCGTACTTAGCTATTAAGTGCATATGTAAACTCGCAGAAATAGGCGAACACGCGTATCCAAATGCTTCACGCGTACTACGAGACGAAACCTATGTAGATGATATCATGACAGGCGCCGAAGATGTAAAGGGTGCAATTGAGTTGCGTGCACAGATTTCAGAATTATTAAGCACCGGAGGTTTCGAAGCTCACAAATGGCATTCGAATTCTCCGGAGGTTGTATCCTTAACGCCACAAAATGAGAAAATGTCTTTTATTCTCAGTATTGATGACAAAACTGCTATCAAGGCTCTCGGATTAGAATGGAATCCGGATGAGAACAATTTTAAATTCACTGTGCATAAACTCGCATCCTCTATAACGAAACGACAAGTACTTTCTGCAATAAGTAGGCTTTTTGATCCTCTTGGACTAATTGGGCCAATACTAACTAGAGCGAAGCTGTTAATGCAGGAAACATAGCGAATTGATCGCGAT